GTAGGTGAGGAGGTGGGGGAGCGAAGGGGGGAGGGAGAATGGGGACGAGGGGGGTTAAGAGGGGAGTGGGCGAATGGTTGACGAAGGGAGGAAGGTGAAGAGGGAGGGGGAGAAAGAGGACGAGGGGGAAGGGTGGGGGCTAAGGGAGAGGGAAGAAGAGGAGAGACGAAGGGGTGGAATGGGGAAGAGAAGAGGGGGGGGGGGGGTAATAGGAAGCAAATGGTGGGAGGGAGACACCTCGTCCTTGATGAAGCCTGTAGTTGCTGAGTCTGGGGACTTTTACACACTGAAGCAGAAATACACGCTTCATTTAGAAAATATACGAAAACACGGACACATGCGACGACTGAGTGGATGAGAGAGAGAGATGAGTAAGAATGAGAGAGAGAGAGAGAGAGAGAGAGAGAGGAGCAGAGAGAGAGAGAGAGAGGAGAGAGAGAGAGAGAGAGAGAGAGAGAGGAGAGAGAGAGAGAGAGAGAGAGAGAGAGAGAGAGAGAGAGAGAGAGAGAGAGAGAAGAGAGAGAGAGAGAGAGAGATAAAGCCGTACATTAAGACAGACAGAGAGGCAAGTAGACACACACAAACACACACACACACACTTGGCGAACACGCACTCAGAACCCCCTCCCCCCTCCCCCCCCCCCCCTCCCTCCCTCTCCAAACCCACACACACACACACGCGTCCCCAAAATCACAGAAAACGCGCCCGTTATGAATGAGAGACAATTCCATTCATCCCTTTTTTCTCTTCCATTCATAAATTTCTGCCTCGTTTCAGATGAAGTTCTGCGCCGTCGCCATCACCTTCGCGGCCGTGGCTTCGGTTGTAACATCTCAGGGTCAAAGTAAGTTGGACGTCCGTGGATAAGGAGCTTTTAAGGATATTTAAGGACACTAGGAGTTGGATTAACTGCCGTATTTTAGCCGTTCGAGTCTCTTTAAGGGAGTTAATGACACTGCTCAGCTGTTTTGGGTATTAGGGATTGTCTTAAGGGCATTTTTAATCCGGGTATTAAGGATTGTCTTAAGGGCATTTTTAAGCCTTTGGGATGTCATTAGGGACTAAATTAATGGCACTGTCAAGAGGTCTGAATGACAATTGCACTATGAAGCTGTTTGGATACCATTAGGGATTGAATTAATGACAGTAATTAAGCCGTTAGGATATGGCGAATGGCACTATTAGGCTGTTAGGATGTAATTAGGAAGTACACGAGTGCCATTAAGTCCTCTGGGTATCATTAGGGAATAAATCAGTGGGGTTATTGAACTGTTTGGATATTAAGGACTCGGTGAGTGTCATTATTAAGGCTCTTGGACATCATTAAGGATTAAATCAATGATATGAAGCCTTTTGGATATTAGGGCTTGTATTAATTGCACTTGGCTTGCGAATGAACTAAGCTTATTGCAGATCAGGTCAGGATGCATATGTAGAGAGTAATTATCTCTGGCTAATTAGGTATGTAATGAACGATTTTAGGAACCAATGATGTCAAAACTATTATCTTTTGTTATACAGTAATATCTGATAGTCTGCAATATCCTGTAACAATTATCAAAAGGAAAAAAGATTTATACTTTAATTCTGTGATATAACATAACATAGTTATATACTCCAAATCAGAAAAAAAAATCATGAACTATTAATTCATTAGTATCCTATAGAAGTTATCAGAGGAAAAAAAAATAATATATATATATATACCCAAATTCAGTCATTTATAGCATCTATTAGGAGAAAAAACTGGTTATTTAAACTAATTCGGTAACATTATTTAGCAGCTATCAGTGGAAAGATAATATCTATATACTCTTAATCAGTAACAGCCTGTAGCAGCTATCGCAGGAAAAGATAGTAATATACACTAAAGGTAACACACACCCTGCAGTAGCTACCAAAGTGGGGGGGGGAGTAACACCCTGCTAGCTACCAAAGTGGGTGGGTGGGGGGGGGGGAGTAAACACCTGCAGTAGCTACCAAAGTGTGTATGTGTGTGTGTGTGGGGGGGGGGAGTAACACCCTGTAGTAGCTACCAAAGGGGGGGGGAGTAACACCATGCAGTAGCTACCAAAGAGTAACATCCTGCAGTAGCTACCAGGGGGGGGGGGGAGTAACACCCTGCAGTAGCTACCAAAGGGGGGAGTAATACCCTGCAGTAGCTACCAAAGTGTGTGGGTGGTGGGGGGGGGGGGTAACACCCTGCAGTAGCTACCAAAGTGTGTGTGTGTTGGGGGGGGGGGGAGTAACACCCTGAGTAGCTACCAAAGTGTGTGGGTGGGTGGGGGGGGGGTAACACCCTGCAGTAGCTACCTAACACCCTGCAGTAGCTACCAAAGTGTGTGGGTGGGTGGGGGGGGGGGTAACACCCTGCAGTAGCTACCAGTGCAGTAGTACCAAAGTGTGTGGGTGGGTGGGGGGGGGGTAACACCCTGCAGTAGCTACCAAAGTGTGTGTGTGTGGGGGAGTAACACCCTAGTAGCTACCAAAGTGTGTGGGTGGTGGGGGGGGGGGTAACACCCTGCAGTAGCTACCAAAGTGTGTGTGTGTGGGGGGGGGAGTAACACCCTGTAGTAGCTACCAAAGTGTGTGGTGGTGGGGGGGGGTAACACCCTGCAGTAGCTACCAAAGTGTGTGTGTGTGGGGGGGAGTAACACCCTGTAGTAGCTACCAAAGTGTGTGTGGTGGGGGGGGGGTAACACCTGCAGTAGCTACCAAAGTGTGTGTGGGGGGGGGAGTAACACCCTGCAGTAGCTACCAAAGTGTGTGTGTGTGGGGGGGGGGGGGGGGAGTAACACCCTTTAGTAGCTACCAAAGTGGGTGGGGGGGGGAGTAACACCCTGTAGTAGCTACCAAAGTGTGTATGGGTGTGTGTGTGGGGGAGTAACACCCTGTAGTAGCTACCAAAGTGTGTGTGGGGGGAGTAACAAACCTGCACTAGCTCCCAAAAGGGGGGAAAATAAAGCCATATTCCCCAGATCACGTTGCCATTCCCTTTCAGGATGCGTCACCCGCCGTGGCCAACCGGGGCGATGTATAACGGTGCAACAGTGTCCTCGGTTAAATGACCTCCTCAGACGACGTCCTCCAGGTGCTATTGATATACTACGTGGGTGAGTCACACATGAATATTTGTGAGTCTGTGACACGAGAGACATGCGGATGAGAGTGGTTTATGAGACTGTGACACGAGAAACATGCTGGTTTTGAGACTGTGACACGAGAAACATGCGGATGAGAGTGGTTTTGAGACTGTGACACGAGAAACATGCGGATGAGAGTGGTTTTGAGACTGTGACACGAGAAACATGCGGATGAGAGTGGTTTGAGACTGTGACACGAGAAACATGCGGATGAGAGTGGTTTTGAGACTGTGACACGAACATGCGGATGAGAGTGTTTTGAGACTGTGACACGAGAAACATGCGGATGAGAGTGGTTTGAGACTGTGACACAGGCATAGTGTTTGAGACACACGAGAATGAGAGTGGTTTTGAGACTGTGACACGAGAAACATGCGGATGAGAGTGATTTTGAGACTGTGACACGAGAAACATGCGGATGAGAGTGGTTTTGAGACTGTGACACGAGAAACATGCGTATGAGAGTGGTTTTGAGACTGTGACACGAGAACATGCGGATGAGAGTGGTTTTGAGACTGTGAACGAGAAACATGCGGATGAGAGTGATTTTGAGACTGTGACACGAGAAACATGCGGATGAGAGTGGTTTTGAGACTGTGACACGAGAAACATGCGGATGAGAGTGTTTTGAGACTGTGACACGAGAAACATGCGGGTGAGAGTGTTTTGAGACTGTGACACGAGAAACATGCGGTGAGAGTTTTGAGACTGTGACACGAGAAACATGCGGATGAGAGTGGTTTTGAGACTGTGACACGAGAAAACATGCGGATGAGAGTGGTTTTGAGACTGTGACACGAGAAAACATGCGATGAGAGTGTTTTGAGACTGTGACACGAGAAACATGCGATGAGAGTGGTTTGAGACTGTGACACGAGAAACATGCGATGAGAGTGGTTTTGAGACTGTGACACGAGAAACATGCGGATGAGAGTGGTTTTGAGACTGTGACACGAAAACATGCGGATGAGAGTGGTTTTGAGACTGTGACACGAGAAACATGCGGATGAGAGTGGTTTTGAGACTGTGACACGAGAAACATGCGGATGAGAGTGATTTTGAGACTGTGACACGAGAAACATGCGGATGAGAGTGGTTTTGAGACTGTGACACGAGAGACATGCGGATGAGAGTGGTTTTTGAGACTGTGACACGAGAAACATGCGGATGAGAGTGTTTTGAGACTGTGAAACATGCGGATGAGATTGAGACTGTGACACGAGAAACATGCGGGTGAGAGTGGTTTTGACTGTGACGAGAAACATGCGGATGAGAGTGATTTTGAGACTGTGACACGAGAACATGCGGATGAGAGTGTTTTTGAGACTGTGACCGAGAAACATGCGGATGAGAGTGATTTTGAGACTGTGACACGAGAAACATGCGGATGAGAGTGGTTTTGAGACTGTGACACGAGAAACATGCGGATGAGAATTTTGAGACTGTGAGAAACATGCGGATGAGAGTGTTTTGAGACTGTGACACGAGAAACATGCGGATGAGAGTGATTTTGAGACTGTGAGAAACATGCGGATGAGAGTGGTTTTGAGACTGTGACACGAGAAACATGCGGATGAGAGTGATTTTGAGACTGTGACACGAGAAACATGCGGATGAGAGTGGTTTTGAGACTGTGACACGAGAAAACATGCGGATGAGAGTGTTTTGAGACTGTGACACGAGAAACATGCGGTGAGAGTGATTTTGAGACTGTGACACGAGAAACATGCGGATGAGAGGTATGCGGATTGATTTTGACTGTGACACGAAACATGCGGATGAGAGTGTTTTGAGACTGTGACACGAGAAAACATGCGGATGAGAGTGTTTTGAGACTGTGACACGAGAAACATGCGGATGAGAGTTGAGACTGTGACACGAGAAACATGCATTTTGACTGTGACACGAGAAAACATGCGGATGAGAGTGTTTTGAGACTGTGACACGAAAACATGCGGATGAGATGAGACTGTGACACGAGAAACATGCGGATGAGAGTGGTTTTTGAGACTGTGACACGAGAAACATGCGGATGAGAGTGGTTTTGAGACTGTGACACGGAAACATGCGGATGAGAGTGGTTTTGAGACTGTGACACGAGAACATGCGGATGAGAGTGTTTTGAACTGTGACACGAGAAACCGGATGAGAGTGGTTTTGAGACTGACACGAGAAACATGCGGATGAGAGTGGTTTTGAGACTGTGACACAAACATGCGACTGTGACACACATGCGGATGAGAGTGATTTTGAGACTGTGACACGAGAAACATGCGGATGAGAGTGGTTTTGAGACTGTGACACGAGAAACATGCGGATGAGATGAGACTGACACGAGAAACATGCGGATGAGAGTGGTTTTGAGACTGTGACACGAGAAACATGCGGATGAGAGTGGTTTTGAGACTGTGACACGAGAAACATGCGGTGAGAGTGGTTTTGAGACTGAGAAACATGCGAGACTGTGACACGAGAACATGCGTGTTTTTGTTGAGAGTGATTTTGAGACTGTGACACGAGAAACATGCATGAGAAACAGATGAGAGTGGTTTTGAGACTGTTGAGAAACATGCTGAGACTGTGACACGAGAAACATGCGAGACTGTGACACGAGAAACATGCGAGACTGTACTGGTTTTGAGACTGTGACACGAGAAACATGCGGCATAAGAGTGGTTTTGAGAGCTTTTGAGAGTGGTTTTGAGACTGTGACACGAGAAACATGCGGATAAGAGTGGTTTTGAGACTGTGACACGAGAAACATGCGGATAAGAGTGGTTTTGAGACTGTGACACGAGAAACATGCGGGTGAGAGTGGTTTTGGCAGTGAAAATGGTCATGATGCAAAGTATACAGAGAGTGCACGTGACAGTGAGGTAAGTACGAATAAAAGTAGATATGACAGTGAAAAAATAAACAGTGATGTTAGGAAATGAGCTGTTTTTTTGGGGGGGAGAATGATAAAATAAGAACAAATTAGAATTATTTCTCCTGACTATGAATTGCAATTTTAAGACCAGTCAGTGTTCCCAGATAGAGTAGAATTTTCAGTAAATAATAAATAAATAAAACAAATAACAAATAATAAAGAATAAAACAAAAAACAACACAAATAGTAATGATGATAATACATTAGATGATGGCAGTGAAAATAATAATGATAATGATAAGGTTGATGCAAATATGTACATTAATGATAATAGTAATAATAGTAAGGATAATGGTGATGATAATAATGATAGTGATAATGATGATAATAGTAATATTTATGATAATTAGGATGATCATAACTATGAAAATAATTGTGGTGGTGAAAATAATGATGCTAGCAATAATGATAATCCCCTTTCTCTCTCTCTTTATCTCCTATTTACTATTTCATTCATTATTTGCTCATGCTTATTTGATTATTCTCCTATTTACTATTTCATTCATTGTTTGCTGATACTTATTTGATTTTTCTCCTATTCACTATTTCATTGATTATTAGATTTTTCTCCTATTTACTATTTCATTGATCATTTGCTTATGTTTATTTGATTTTTCTCCTATTCACTATTTTATTCATTATTTGCTCATGTTTATTTGATTTTTCTCCTATTCACTATTTCATTGATTATTAGATTTTTCTCCTATTTACTATTTCATTGATTATTTACTCATGCTTATTAGATTATTCTTCTATTTACTATTTCATTGATTATTTGCTCATGTTTATTTTATTTTTCTCTTTTACTATTTACTATTTCATTCATTGTTTGCTTATGTTTATTTGATTTTTCTCCTATTCACTATTTCATTCATTATTTGCTTATGTTTATTTGACTTTTCTCCTATTTACTATTTTATTGATTATTTATTGATGTTTATTTGATTTTTCTCCTATTTACTATTTCATTCATTATTTATTTTTTTTTTTCTCTATTACTTTCATTCATTATTTGCTCGTGTTTATTTGATTTTTCTCCTATTCACTATTTCATTGATTATTTACTTATGTTTATTTGATTTTTCTCCTATTTACTATTTCATTGATTATTTTCTATTTATTGATTTTTCTCCTATTTACTATTTCATTCATATTTGCTCATTTATTTGATTTTTCTCCTATTCACTATTTTTCATTTTCATTATTTGATTTACTATTTATTCATTTTTATTTGATTTTTCTCCTATTTACTATTTCATTGATTATTTGCTCATGTTTATTTGATTTTTCTCCTATTCACTATTTTATTGATTATTTGATTTTTCTCCTATTTACTATTTCATTGATTATTTACTCATGCTTATTAGATTATTCTCCTATTTACTATTTCATTGATTATTTGCTCATGTTTATTTGATTTTTTCTCCTATTCACTATTTCATTCATTATTTGCTCATGCTTATTTGATTATTCTCCTATTTCATTGATTATTTACTTATGTTTATTTGATTTTTCTCCTATTTACTATTTCATTCATTATTTGCTCATATTTACTATTTCATTGATTATTTGCTCATGCTTATTTGATTATTCTCCTATTTCATTGATTATTTACTTATGCTTATTTGATTTTTCTCATATTTACTATTTCATTCATTATTTACTCATGCTTATTTTATTTTTCTCCTATTCACTATTTTATTGATTATTTGCTCATGCTTATTTGATTATTCTCCTATTTCATTGATTATTTACTTATGTTTATCTGATTTTTCTCCTATTTACTATTTCATTGATCATTTACTCTTGTTTATTTGATTTTTCTCCTATTTACTATTTCATTCATTATTTACTCATGTTTATTTGATTTTTCTCCTATTTACTATTTCATTCATTATTTACTCATGTTTATTTGATTTTTCTCCTATTTACTATTTCATTGATTATTTGCTCGTGTTTATTTGATTTTTCTCCTATTTACTATTTCATTCATTATTTGCTTATGTTTATTTGATTTTTCTCCTATTCACTATTTCATTCTTTATTTGCTCTTGTTTATTTGATTTTCTCCTATTTCATTGATTATTTGCTTAATGTTTATTTGATTTTTCTCCTATTTACTATTTCATTCATTATTTGCTCTTGTTTATTTGATTTTTCTCCTATTCACTATTTTATTGATCATTTGCTCATGTTTATTTGATTTTTCTCCTATTTACTATTTCATTCATTATTTGCTTATGTTTATTTGATTTTTCTCCTATTTACTATTTCATTGATTATTTATTGATGTTTATTTGATTTTTCTCCTATTTACTATTTCATTGTTTATTTGATTTTTCTCCTATTCACTATTTTATTGATTATTTGCTCATGTTTATTTGATTTTTCTCCTATTTACTATTTCATTGATTATTTATTGATGTTTATTTGATTTTTCTCCTATTTACTATTTCATTCATTATTTTTAGTTGATTTTTCTCCTATTTACTATTTCATTCATTATTTGCTTATGTTTATTTGATTTTTCTCCTATTTACTATTTCATTGATTATTTGCTCATGTTTATTTGATTTTTCTCCTATTTACTATTTTATTGATTATTTGCTCATGTTTATTTGATTTTTCTCCTATTCACTATTTCATTCATTATTTGCTCATTTTTCCTATTTACTATTTTATTGATTATTTGCTCATGTTTATTTGATTTTTCTCCTATTCACTATTTCATTCTTTATTTGCTCGTGTTTATTTGATTTTTCTCCTATTCACTATTTCATTCTTTATTTGCTCATGTTTATTTGATTTTTCTCCTATTCACTATTTCATTCATTATTTGCTCATGTTTATTTGATTTTTCTCCTATTTACTATTTCATTGATTATTTGCTTATGTTTATTTGATTTTTCTCCTATTCACTATTTCATTGATTATTTGCTTATGTTTATTGATTTTTCCTATTCACTATTTCATTGATTATTTGCTTATGTTTATTTGATTTTTCTCCTATTTACTATTTCATTGATTATTTGCTTATGTTTATTTGATTTTTCTCCTATTCACTATTTCATTGATTATTTGCTTATGTTTATTTGATTTTTCTCCTATTCACTATTTCATTCATTGTTTGCTTATGTTTATTTGATTTTTCTCCTATTTACTATTTCATTCATTATTTGCTCATGTTTATTTGATTTTTCTCCTATTTACTATTTCATTCAGTATTTGCTCATGTTTATTTGATTTTTCTCCTATTTCATTGATTATTTGCTCATGCTTATTTGATTTTTCTCCTATTTACTATTTCATTCATTATTTGCTCATGTTTATTTGATTTTTCTCCTATTTCATTGATTATTTACTTATGTTTATTTGTATTCATTGATTATTTACTTATGTTTATTTTTTTTTCAGCGCTATATGTTCTGTCACAGAAGGGAGGGCCCTTGTGTGTTGCGAAGATACACAGCCTGTTATTTCTCCGGGACCGTCTGTGAGTAGGGCGAGAGAAACTGAATTTGATTTCATTTTTTCCTTTTTTTCATTTTTGCCTCTTTTTATCTCTGGTTCTCTATATGCCATGGTCGTTTTCTGTGGCATTTCTGGCCCTCTTTTTGCCTCTTTTTATCTCTGGTTCTCTATATGCCATGGTCATTTTCTATGGCATTTCTGGCCCACTTTTTGCCTCTTTTTATCTCTGGTTCTCTATATGCCATGGTCATTTTCTATGGCATTTCTGGCCCCCTTTTTGCCTCTTTTTATCTCTGGTTCTCTATATGCCATGGATCTGGCCCCTTTTTGCCTCTTTTATCTCTGGTTCTCTATATGCCATGGTCATTTTCTATGGCATTTCTGGCCCCCTTTTTGCCTCTTTTTATCTCTGGTTCTCTATATGCCATGGTCATTTTCTATGGCATTTCTGGCCCACTTTTTGCCTCTTTTTATCTCTGGTTCTCTATATGCCATGGTCATTTTCTATGGCATTTCTGGCCCCCTTTTTGCCTTTTTTTATCTCTGGTTCTTATATGCCATGGTCTTTTCATTTCTGGCCCCTTTTTGCCTCTTTTTATCTCTGGTTCTCTATATGCCATGGTCATTTTCTATGGCATTTCTGGCCCCCTTTTTGCCTCTTTTTATCTCTGGTTCTCTATATGCCATGGTCGTTTTCTGTGGCATTTCTGGCCCCTTTTTGCCTCTTTTTATCTCTGGTTCTCTATATGCCATGGTCATTTTCTATGGCATTTCTGGCCCTTTTTTGCCTTTTTTATCTCTGGTTCTCTATATGCCATGGTCATTTTCTATGGCATTTCTGGCCCACTTTTTGCCTCTTTTTATCTCTGGTTCTCTATATGCCATGGTCATTTTCTATGGCATTTCTGGCCCACTTTTTCCCTCTTTCTATCTCTGGTTCTCTATATGCCATGGTCATTTTCTATGGCATTTCTGGCCCACTTTTTGCCTCTTTCTATCTCTGGTTCTCTATATGCCATGGTCATTTTCTATGGCATTTCTGGCCCACTTTTTGCCTCTTTTATCTCTGGTTCTCTATATGCCATGGTCATTTCTTGGCATTTTTTGGCCCTTTTTGCCTCTTTTTATCTCTGGTTCTCTATATGCCATGGTCATTTTCTATGGCATTTCTGGCCCACTTTTTGCCTCTTTTTATCTCTGGTTCTCTATATGCCATGGTCATTTTCTATGGCATTTCTGGCCCACTTTTTGCCTCTTTTTATCTCTGGTTCTCTATATGCCATGGTCATTTTCTATGACATTTCTGGCCCCCTTTTTGCCTCTTTTTATCTCTGGTTCTCTATATGCCATGGTCATTTTCTATGGCATTTCTGGCCCTCATCACCCAAAAGGAAAATAATGATAATGATAAAACTATACAAAGAAAATTCGAAAGTGTTCTGTTCCTTAAAAGGGAAGAATATATAATAGCTATCGCGATATAAAAAAATATATACAATTCAACAATAAATTACAAACTCGTTTCTTTTTGCCGATTAAAATAAATAAATCATTTTTGTTCACTGAACACAAATATTGCAGAAGTCATAATAATGTTTAGAAGGTAAACAGAAAAGGTTATTTTCTCCCAGGTACAAAGTAAAGTAAATTTGATTATCTTAAGCTCGTATCCTTCACGCCGAGCTCATATCCTTCAATTTAAGCCCGTACCCTTCGCTTTAAGCACGCACCCTTCTTCACTTTAACCCCGTATCTAGTACCTCAAGCCTATATCCTTTATTTTAATCCTGAATCCTTCAAATTCGTATCGATCACTATAAGCCCATAATCTTCACTATAGTCCCGTATCTCTCACTGCAAATTCGTGTCCTTCAATTTATGCCCATTTCCTTCGTTACAAGTTCGTGTCTTTCACTGCAAGCACGTATCCTCCACCTTAAGCTTGTATCCACTGTAAGTCTATATCCTTTATCTTGAGCACTATTTTTTACTGTAATCCCATATTAAGCTCGTATCCCGCACTTTCAGGCCACATTCTTCATTTTAATCTTTATCCTTCACTTCAAAACCGTATCCTTCATCCTGAAACCCATATCCTTTAGCTTAAATCCATGTCTTCCTCTGCAAGCTCTTTTTTATCACTTTAAGCCACATCCTTCACTTTAAGCTCGTATTCTTTACTTTAGGCCTGTATCTTCCATTTCCAGCTTTCATTTATGCCTTGAATTCCACATCCTGTACTCCAAAGCTTTATCCTTGAGACCATATCCTTTATCTTGAGCCCATATTTATCACATTAAGCCTGTATCCTTTACTCAATGCGGTATCTGGCTGTGATCAAGCTGGCTATGAGCTATGGCTATGTCTGTTGGTCCCCATGGTTTGGGAGCTGATACAGGCAGCGAGAATAGGCTCCTTTTCCGGGACTTTGCTAGGTCCCAGAAATTGAGGATTTCTGGCTCCTTGTACCAGCACCCAGACCCACATTGCTGGACATGGTACAGCGATGCGGGTAATGCAGCCAAGGAGATCGACCACATGTTAGCACTCATTGGAGGATCCTCCAGAACTGCAGGGTGTATAGGAGTGCCGAGTTCTGTGGTACTGACCATAGATTGGTTGTGGCTACCCTCCGAGTCCATTTCAAAACCCCCAGCGGACCAATGATCACCCCAGGGTGTTTCACTTGGACAGGCTGAGGGAGAGGGAATGTGCCCGAGGGTTTGCTGAGGCAGTCTCTGGTCGTTTCACAGTGCTCGACAACCTGTCAGAACCTGTACTTCTGTGGGACACTTTCAAACGTGAAATGCTTGATGCAGCTCAAAGAGACGATTGGTGAACGCCCGAGAGCAGCGAAATTTCATCTGGCAGGAGACACTGGATGCCACAGATGCTTGGCGTGCAGCTCGTCTGGCAAGGGATCGGGATTTGCACCATTCCCAGGTGTACAGAACTCGGTCACTGTTAAGAAGGGACAAGGAACAGTTTATTAGGAATCTTGCTGAGGAGGTAGAAGGCCATTTCTTAGTAAATGACCTTCGTCCTGCATACCAAGCGCTGAGAAAGCTGAACTTCAAGCCCTCTTCACAGGTGACAGCAGTTCACTCAGTAAGTGGTCAGATCATCTCAGATCCTGTTGCGGTGCAGGAACGTTGGGCTGAGTATTTTGAACAGTTGTACCAGGTTGACCCACCAACAGTTAACTTGGATGCGGGGAGTGCCGAGATTCCGTTGCCGGACCCACCCATCAGTGAGGATGCTCCCTCCCTAACCGAAGTTAGGGGGGCGATCTCTAAGCTGAAGAGTGGTAAAGCAGCTGGTATATGCAGCATCCAAGCTGAACTGTTAAAGGCTGGTGGGGAACTATGGCAGGGGTGCATGTTGTTCTGGCTGCCATCTGGCGGTCTGGTACCGTTCCCCCTAACCTTTTGAGGGGTGTGGTCATCCCTCTCTGGAAGGGGAAGGGAGGCCGATGGAACTGCAGCAATCACCGAGGCATCACACTGCTCAGTATACCAGGCAAGGTTCTTGCCCACATCCTGAGACGTATCAGAGATCACCTACTGAGGCATCAGAGACTGGAGCAATTTGAATTCACTCCTGGTAAGTCCACAATAGACCGTATCCTTGTGCTTCGAGTCATCATAGAGCGCCGTCGTGAGTTCGGGCGTGGGCTGCTTGCAGCCTACATCGACCTCAAGAAGGCATTCGATCAGTGCATCGGGAATCACTAGGAGATCTTGAGACTGAGAGGAATTCCAACAAGTATACAAGTCAGTTTACTGGTACTGAAAGTGCTGTAAAGAGTGCTGGGGGCCTGTCAAGCTTCTTTCCTGTCAGTTCAGGAGTGAGGCAAGACTGTGTCCTTGCACCAACTCTTTTCAACACTTGCATGGACTGGATACTGGGCAGAACTACTGTTCAAAGTCATTGTGGAGCAACTCTGGGCAATATCAAGGTTACCGAACTTGACTTTGCTGATGATGTTGCCATTCTATCTAAGTCTCTGGAATCCTTAGTGGTGGCTCTCGATGCATTTAGTAATGAAGCGAAGCCCTTGGGTCTAGAGGTCTCCTGGACCAAGACCAAGTTCCAGGACTTTGGGGACATACTAGGAGAACCTGTTCAATCGGTATGTGCTTGCGGCGAGGACATTGAAGTCACAGAGAGCTTTACATACCTTGGTAGTGTAGTTCATAACTCTGGACTGTCAGACCAGGAAGTCAGCAGACGGATTGGTCTGGCAGCAAGGGTCATGTTCTCTCTCGACAAGAGTATTTGGAGATGCTGGTACCTGTGCAGAAGGACCAAACTTCGTGTCTTCAAGGCCCTGATAGTGTCAGTTTTGCTCTACGGTAGTGAAACCTGGACACTATCCTGCGCCTTGGAGTCTCGACTTGATGTCTTTTGTAATAGGTGCTTGCGCCGGATCATAGGGTACTGTTGGCGGGACCATGTGTCCAACCAACGGATGCACCGTGAGACTGGCACAAGACCTATTACCTGCACAATCCGTGATCGCCAACTCAGGCTTTACGGCCACCTGGCTCGCTTCCCTCAGGATGATCCCGCCCACCAGGTTGTCTCTGTTCGAGACAGCCCTAGGTGGAGGAGGCCTGTGCATCGACCTAGGAAGTCGTTGCTCGGGCAGATCGATCAAACCTGTCGTGAGGAGCTTAAGATGGGCCGAGTCCCTGCCTGGCGACTTGCCATGAGGGACCCTCGCAGGTACAAGCAAAGGGTGGATGCGGCTATGCGCCCCCGTCGGCGTTTAGCTCCGCAATGATGATGATCCTTTACTCTTTAATTCATTTTAAGTCCGTTTCCTTCCGCTACAGTTACGAGGGAGAGACCTCTTGCCTCGCGAGTGTGGTCAGACCGCCCTGGTAGACCGGATCATAGGAGAACCTGCTCCGCTGTTGTCTTGGCCTTGGATGATTCTGCTTCGAGGAAGAAGTAAGTGTAGACCTTGCTTTGTGTCGTTCTTACTATGAATTTTGTTGTTAGTGTACTTTTATGATCTATAGTATCGTGATATTTGTTATAGTTATTGTTGTTATTATCATTATTAGTGATATGTGCTTTTTCATTATTATAGTCCTTGGCGAATATTAAAACGGTTAAAAAAGCGAGCTTCAGCACAAATCACTCTATTAATACAAGTCATTAAAAAACTCGAGTAGATGAATCACCGAGTAGATAAAAAAAAAAAAAAAAAACAAGTAAAGAAATCTACAAATAGATAAATCTACAAATAGATAAATCTACAAATGAATAAACCTACCATATCTACAAATAAATAAATTACAAATGAATCAACAAATAAATAGATCTACCAGTATATCTACAAATAAAAATCTATAAATAAATCTACAAATAAAAATCTATAAATAAATCTACAAATAAAGATCTATAAATAAATCTACAAATAAAAATCTATAAATAAATCTACAAATAAAATCTATAAATAAATCTACAAATAAAAATCTATAAAAAATTACAAATAAATAATTACAAATAAATCTACAATAATAATACAAATAATCTAACAAATAAATCTACAAATAAATCTATAAATTAAATCTATAAATAAATCTACAAATAAATCTACAAATTAAAAAATCTATAAATAAATCTACAAATACATCAACACGCGCTTCCCCCCCCCCCCCCCACAGACGCTGAAGGTCGAAGGCGGTTCTTCTGCGGCGGCGTCCTCATCTCTGAACGCTACGTGCTGACGGCGGCTCACTGCGTCCACAGCGGCGCCACTCTGTCTCTGTGAGTACCGGGTGGGCGGGATTAAAAAAAAAAAAAAAAAAAAAAAAAATAAATAAATAAATAAAAATTAAATAAATAAATAAAAAAATATAAATAAATAAATAAATAAATAAATAAATAAATAAATAAATAAAAAAGAGAGAGAGAGAAAGAAATGCGTAAATAAGAAAAGAGAAAGAGATGTGTAAATAAGAAAAGAGAAAGAGATGTGTAATAAGAAAAGAGAAGAGAGTAAATAAAAAGAGAAAGAGATGTGTAAATAAGAAAGAGAAAGAGATGCGTAAATAAGAAAAGAGAAAGAGATGAGAGAAAGAGATGTGTAAATAAGAAAAGAGAAAGAGATGTGTAAATAAGAAAAGAGAAAGAGATGTGTAAATAAGAAAAGAGAAAGAGATGTGTAAATAAGATGCAATGTAGAATTAGATGAGTGAAATTAAGAACGCATATAGAAGAGAATAGAGGAAAACCTCAATAGGACAATAAGGAATAACAAGGAAAATAAGAAACAAAACAGATAGTTACCCAACCTAGCTAAAAAAAAAAAAAAAAAAACAATAACAAAGCAAACGAAACATGATAATGAACAAACAAAACCCAACAGCGAAACCAAACCAAAAAAAAAAAAAAAAAAAAAAAACGAAAATAAACCCTAAAAACTCTTTAAAAAATATATGTAATACTTTAAAAATTCAAATATATGTAATAATTTAATATTTGTAAGTATATGTAATAATTTAATATATGTAATATATGTTAATAATTTAATATATTAAATATATGTAAATAATTTAATAATTAAATAAATATGTATATGATGCATATAATAATATGTAAATATATGTAATATATGTAATAAATATATGTATATATAATTTAATATATGTAATAATTTATATGTAAATTTAAAAAATTATATGTAAAAAATATACGAATCCCTGCCCTAACCACGCCCCCTTCCCTTCTTCGTCCCAGCGAGAGCGTGCGGGTCGGCGAGCACACAGTCGGCCAGGACCCGGACTGCCAGAAGAACCGCTGCGCCCCCTCCCCGCAGGACATCGCCGTCGAGCAGGTCGTCGTGCACGAGGATTACGGGACTCCTTGCCTCAATTGCAACGACATTGCCCTCCTGCGACTTGCCACGCCCGCCAGGATCGATAACCGTACGTTGGGGTGGGTGTGCAGAGAGCAGAGGGAGTGAGAGAGAGAGGGAGAATGAGAGAGAGAGAGAGGGAAGGAGGGAGAATGAGAGAGAGAGAGAGGGGGAGGGAGAATGAGAGAGAGGGAGAATGAGAGAGAGGGGGAGAGAGGGTGGGAGGGGGAATGAGAGAGAGAGAGGGAGGGAGGGAATGGAGAGAGGGTGGGAGGGTGATGAGAGAGAGGGGGAGGGAGAATGAGAGAGAGAGCAGGGAGGGGAGGAGGGTGAATGAGAGAGGGAAGGAGGGAGAATGAGAGAGAGGAGGGAGGGAGGGGAAGATGAGAGGGGAGGGAGGGGGAATGAGAGAGAGGGAGGGAGAATGGAGAAGGAGGGAGGGAGAATGAGAGAGGGAGGGAGGGGGAATGAGAGAGAGGGTGGGAGGGAATGAAGAGAGGGAGGGAGAATGAGAGAGAGAGGGAAGGTGAATGAAGAGGGGTGGGAAGGTCAATGGGGAGAGAGAGGAGGGAGGGAGAATGTGAGAGAGAGAAGGGGAGAGAGGAGGAGAAGAGTGAGAGAGAGCGTAAAACACTCACCCAAGCAAACGAAAAACAACCAAAAATTATTAAAAGAAGAAAAAATCAGTCCCCCCCCAAAAAAAAAAGGAAAAATGAATAAACAAAAAATATAGATATCATAAACTCCATCCCACACACAACACTCCGACACCATCAATATTTAACAAACACACAAACTCTTTTACACCCGTTAACTGTCATTCCCCCCCCCCAATATTAACACAAAATCTTTTACACCCGTTAACTGTCATTTCCTCCCCCCCCCCCCCACAATATTAACACAAAATCTTTTACACACGTTAACTGTCATTTTCCTCCCCCCCCCCAATATTAACACACACAAACTCTTTTACACCCGTTAACTGTCATTTTTCCTCCCCCCCCCCCCAATCTAACAAAAAATTTTACACCCGTTAACTGTCATTTTCCCTCCCCCCCCCCCAATATTACACACAAACTCTTTTA